TTGAGGCAAGGTCTGAAGACAGCTTATATAGTGGATCCTCTGATGATCTAGATGAGCTGCAGCTGTGCAGAGGGCTCCCTCAGAGGATCCACGGCGGACTCTGCTGGAGAAAGATGGGATTTTCTCCAGCTCCCAACACTTCTGGGGCATTCAAGGGAAGCTATTAGAAAAATGGGGCTGCTATAGCAGGTAATTATCATTTGCTCCCTGACGTGGAAGATCTTTGGTTTTCCTTTGTAAGTAAACTAGGGTGTAAATCTAAGTTCCTAGCTTCATATTCCATTACATTATGGGAGTAACAGCACACTGCTGAGAAATAAATAAGATGAAGTGACATTGAACTGAATAATAAGATCGCAATACATTTTGAGATATTCTGGAGGCTGAAATTAGATTTTTAAACACTAGTAACAAATGCAAGCGGAACTGACCCACAAAATAAAAGTTTGACACTCAATAACTAAGAATTTCAGCAATGAGGAAGAAGTGCTTAATGGTTGCTATAAGTTGCAGTGCCGGCGATTAGGAAACCTGTACCCCTGCTACAACACAAACAGGTAAGAAGATTCAATTCATTGCTTCGCTTGCTTGTTTTAGAGTAAACTCTTGCCTATGGAATTAAAACATTGTGGAAGGTTGAGAAAATAAGGCTGATTATAGAAGCTCAAAATAAATATCGCTGAATTGCAAAAACAAACATTTGAGGTTTCAGGAAATTTTGACAATTTTTAACAAATATATGAGGAAAAAAGGTTTAAATTTGTTATTTTCGATTAACATTGTAATATTAGCCAAATTAAAGTTACCTTGGAAACTGATTGGGCACAAGTTTGTTTGACTTGAAATCACTCTCATTATTGGCAGTTCAAAAATAAGTAATCAAAATGATCAGATGTATGTTTTACAGTACGACCACCAGGTTTAGCATCTTATTTTATTTAGAAGAAAAGTATAATTAATCATGTTCTACAGAGCAGGATCTTCAGAATGTACAGACACATCTGGATGTTTTTCAGGTTCAAAGTTTAAAGCACAGCCAAGAGTTTAAGCAAACCACAAGTATAACTTCCTTATTTGTCAACGCAGAATGTATGGCCTCATGCATTATGATAGGATCGGTTCAGATAAGTAAATTAAACTTAGCAGGTCACATTTCTACAAGTTCTAGAATAGCGACACTCATGAGGACAAGGGCATTTTGAGGTAGTTAAACATAACTCTATAATATCTTAAATTAAATCATCATAAACATTTAGTACTTAAGGAAGTTGTTTATACTATTGTGAGTTTTATACTTATTTTGATCACACATGCATCTCTATAAGATCATGAATGTTATATTAAGAATGGAAAGCATATGCCTTCATCTCCAATATGTAAAAACTGCACACACAAGCCAAGAAATTTACATCTTAACTAATGGGTGGTTAAGGTTTCCCTGGGAATTTATGTTTTACAGCCACAAACAAACTTTTTTTTTGAGGAAATGTCAAGATTAATTTAAAATTTTATCTTTGACAGAAACCCTACAGCTCTGCAAGGACAAAACAAGATCTAGAAAATGTCTGAATCTTTTGCTGGTGTGGTTGAAGAATCGTAAAATACCCGATAAGAATATTAATTAGAATCAAAGTTATAGATTATAAATACCCTACAAATTATAGATATGTATCGCATAGAGTACAATATTCTATGGCATATTTTGTGACGATCAAAACTGAACAAGAAACACACAGAATCTCTTTTGTTTTATATTATAAAGTGTGATAATGTTATATGACACCTTTTTCTGTATTCCTTTCAAATGTTATCTCGAAGATTGTCCGACAAATTGAAACCCTGTTTATGTAGTTAAATGTTTAAAAACACACAAAAAAATTACATAATGGATTTGTATTGATTCAGTTGATTAGAAAATAGGTTTGAGGTATTTTAAATGGATACAGCCTGTATCTATTATTGTTCTTTTTTTTTAAGTATTGTTTGGAAAACAGATTTGAACATTTCTAGACACAATACCTTTTCTCCAAAAGTGAGCAACATTTGCTGTACATATTTTTTTTTACAATGAAAAGGATAGTAAAGAAAAAAGAAGTGAAAATAAGATCACAAATGTTCTCGAGCAGCTAGAATGTCTCCAAAGGCGCAGGTTAGACCAGTTCTTGGGTCTCACTGTAGTATTACATTAGGCTGTGGTTCTGCTCCAGCATTCTTCCCAAATAAGCTCAACAAGACTCTACATTCTGCATCCTTTTTAATGATACTCCATTTATATGGCGTGTCCTACTGTATTCACAAGTTTTGAACCTGAAATAATTCCTGTGTTTTTTATAGGTCTTTTTATCCCTCCAGAGAAGATGAGAGCAACTTTGTTTATTAGTCTCATGTGCTCCTATGCCCTGGTTTTGGCTAAAAAAGAGGATGAGCTAGAGCTGGTAAGCTACAATTCTAACCCATGTCAGAGGACCTTTAACACTATTGCCTACCAAGCTTTTCGAGACAAACACATAATTCAGATGTCCTTTAACGCCTCATCAAAGCCTGGTTGGAAAAAGTAAGTAATGTCATTTGTTCTAAAAAGCCTAATACATTTTCTAAAACCATGTTTACATTCTTGCTGTGTGTATATTGCTGTATGTCCAGTAATATTTATCCTCCTAAAATTGTTTGGATATATTTCTAACTGAATTATTTATTTGATGAGCTTTTTACTATATTTTCAATCTACAACATTTAGTGCACTGTAAGCTCTGTAAATATTACAATGCAGTTAAAGTAAATGTTATATATGATTTGGGGTGTTATTTTTTTTCAGTTCTCTTTCTTAATTTTAAGCTGCTGGCAATTTTTCATTTTAAATTTTGACCATTGAATTTGCTAAGCTACTTGATGATTTATGTAATGTCCATAATAACATTAAACTGGTCTTTTCTCAGTTATTTGCAGCAAATGAGACTCTGTAACCGACCTATACAGTCCTTTGTGGAGATAAGCGATGAAACCCGTATTCTACAGATCTGCAATGGCTTTGGCTGGTGGCAGACAGGCAATTTATGCACAAGTAACACATCATTTTTGCTTTATGGTTTAAGAGTATCCATCAGCAATTGTA